TACATCATCTGCAAACATTAATGCATAAAGATTATCCACATTAATAGTGATTATACATTAATAGTGATTTCCTCCAAATGTTGCAAACAGTGAGTAGAAATTGTTTATGAAAATAATGCATAACTGGGGGCTTAATATACAGCCTTGTCGATAGCCTTGATTACACTTAAAACTGTTAGTGAGACCACTGGGTGTTATAACACAAACTGACAGCTTAGAATACATCAACAACAAAACATTATGAAACATGCCACTTTTACCTCAGGGGTTCAAATTTTTTTAAAAGCCACTTGCTACAAGGCAAGTGACTTTAAGAAAGTAACTTGTCCTGACTAATTTTCCACTTGCCCTGATTTTTATGACATAATCATTATGATGTAATTATGAAAGAATAAATCAACATGGTATTTGATGTTAATGTTTAATGGGCTATTTATCGAGAAGTGATACACCAGCAAAATAGTTTATCATCACTACAAAAATTACTTCATTTCTTGTATCGTGTCAAATTTTAATAGCTACATTTTGAGCAGATATGAAATGAAATCCAAGTTTATTTGCAGTTTGAAACCATAAGCAGAAATTATCAAGTAGTCCACGGACAAGTAGGATACCATTTTTTGATTGCCCGAAATGAGAACTGACTTGTCCCGGGCGTCGGGCAATAGGGTTTTTCACCCCCCTGTACCTACATCTTTCAAACAGTCAAATAAAACTGTATGGTTGATTGTATCAAATGCTTTACAAAAATCTATAAATACACAATAAAATCAACCCATTTTTCTATGTCCATATTTCTTTACAATAGCCTTCACTTAAAACATGTGATCAACAGTGCAGTATTTTTCTCTAAAGCCAGCTCGACCTATTATCATCACACCATTTCTGCAGCCTGGAGCTTAAAATACAAGTAAACAGTTTACAAAGTGAATCAATCAATGATATGCCATCGTTATTGCTGATTGCAACCAGCCTTAACCATGAGTAGGGATGTCATGGTATATAAGTTATGAATTGATACATATCACTATACCCATGTCACGATTCAATACGCATCATGATACCTATTTTTGCAACATTATTTCATAAATTTAGTAACATTTTGAACATTAATATTTCATATTTTATACTTGTCCATGAAAAGATTAACATTTTTTAGTCTCAGACTCAGAGATTAAAAAGTTATTATTTCCTATCTTTGAGCAGGAAAATAAGCTCATCATTTATAACTCTCATTGCATAAAAAAAACATGATACAACTGCAAAATGGAAATGATACATAAACATTTAAACTGACACTTTTAAAACTAAATATCGATACAGTTTTGAATGTATTGATAATTGTATCGTCTTAGAAAAAGTATCGATGCATCGATGTAAACGTATCGTGGCATCCCTAAACATGAGACATATTTTACTTTTACCCCATATATATGGGAAATTACCTGTACAGAGGATTTCATTAAAAAGTAATGTAAAAGGTTTAAGAGCATGCATGACTTAATAAATTCAGCTGCTATCCCACCAGGTCCAAGCGATTTGTTGTTTTTCAGTTTATCAAAGTTAAAGTTCACCTCATGTTCAGTTATGATGTCATTAAAGTATCTACACACATTGTTATGTACAGAGTCTGGTATATCACAAGTAGATGGCTGAAAGTGATCATCTGTAGTCAGTAGAGATGAGAAATGGTTGACCCAGTCACAGGAGGCAATGTCATTCGATATCCTTGATGTAGTTTAACAGATTTAAGTAATCTCCAGAATGTTTTAGGATTATTTCTTGCTTGCACAAGTTGATTTCTCTTGTTTCATAGTACCATTTCTTTTTAAGCTTAAAAAGACACTTAAAAGAAGATCTAAAACATTTTAAAATATTGAAGTTCACACCATTGTCTCTCTGTGCTCGAAGAGCTGCATATTTTTATGTTTTAATTCTTCTAATTCTTTATCCCCACAGGTTGCTTTTTGAGTGTTCTTGGAGTAGATGTATAAAGTTTCTTTGTAAAGTCAACAGAATTATTAAAAATGTCAATAATCTTTAACATTGCAGAGTCACTATTATCTCTTATTAGATTCACCAACATCTCAGTATTAGTTTCCATCAATGATTGAAAGTTCATGAAAATGTCAAAAGATTCTTGTTTCCATGTTGGTTTAATCAGTCATTGTAGGGCTCATCAGAGTTACTTTGGTTTATTGGAGCAGCTGTGTCACAATCACTTCTTGGAGATATAATCATGTTAGGAGAACATGAGATAGGGAAATGATCTGAATAATTATGTTCGCCAACTATAAAGTTACTAAGAAATAGAAATAAATCAGATGACGCAATCATATATAATCAACCACACTGCATCAATTGTGAATGAAACAGGTGAATTCCTCATGTTTGTCAATAACAAATCAGCCATTCAATATGTGTATACTAAAACTTCTACACAATTCAGAAAGTGTTTTGCCATAATTATTTACACTAGTGTCTTTATTTAACCTTTGGAATTCAAAGTTGTCACCAGGGTAATCATCAATTTCATGTTGTATGAAGTCTAAATTGTCATTAGGGATATAGTCCAACAAATCTGTAGTTCTTGTATTAAAGTCACCAGCAAGGGATGTATTTCTCACTGTGATGAGCTGGAATCATATGGAGGTAGTTTTCGAGTTGGTCAATTCCATCAGTCACTGTTTTCATAAATTTGGTGTATTTTCAGGTGAAATATTGGTAAAAATCAGATTAGAATCTTGTCCCCAGTTCCATTTAGTACTATTTAGCAACAGTATCATACAAACCCCAGACTCATGGTTATCCATGGACACATATCCTGTGGTTATCCACATATCTCTAATACATACAGTAACTACTCCGCTGTGTATACTAAAACGCTTAGTTCTTTCTCTCGCATAATTTCATTAATTAATTCATCTAAAAGGTCACAAAATTCGGACTTCGTTTTAACAGCAATATCATAATGTTTACAAAAGTCTTTCAACTTACTGTCAGGAGAGTTGTATTTGATTAATCCTTCGATGTTACACGTGAACATATCAAATGAACGATGGCCTGCACATCACATTTGTTTACTGATGTTAGCCTGATTTAGAGTGGCCTCCCCGTGTGAATCTGTACTTCCGGGTCCAAACAAACACTCACGTGGGTTTGCCGACTGAGTTGTTCTTATTTTGATGGGGAGATGAGCTTACTTTCACAATATTTCTGGATTCCCTGTCGTACCTGAACACTTCATTATGAGCTTATTTAGACGTACTTTAGGTCGTTTTCCAGTTTTCTGTGCCTGTGAAAACCAGCGTGAAAGAGCACGCCTCTCCTCCCGAATGCCTGCGGAGAATCCTCTGTCACTCGATGTTGTGAGTCTTTTGATAGCCTGTCTCTCGCTCGTCTGGGATTGTAACTTTTATCCGATGTTGTCACAAATTTGGCGATAATTGGTGACCTTCTATTTCTTATTTTAAGTCTGTGAGCTATGTCAATGAGGATACCATCCACATGTTGAATCTCTAGTGTGTCTGACAAGAACTTTCTGTTCCGACTGTTCCCACGTTTCATCTCCCTTTCCGCCAATTCCATGGAAAATCAAATTCTTTTTTCTGTTACGACATTCAAAATCGTCTAGTTTGTCTTGCATAATGATAAGTGATAGTTTTCTGACTTCAGTCCCTCGACCTTCTCATGCATTTCGGCTTCCATGTTGTCAACTTTTTTGTTCAAATTTTGAAAGCTTTGTGATAATGAGTGGCTATCCGATTTGATTTCTCTGAGTATATTGAGTACCTAGCTTGATTCTTTCTCCGTGACGTGTAGTCCAACCGCTCCATCCGGGTCGACGGATAACGTGGTTTGTTGTGTAGTGGGACGGGCCCCGGGATGGACTCCACACTTCCACATGTTACTAACAAAGTGCTCAACAGCACCAAGACTCTCAGGCATACAGAAACGTAGCATGTCTGAACATAATAGCATTTCAGTGTCTTCATATAATATTGACTAAAACATCCTATCTTGAGTTAAACATATCCGTATCTCGAGAGCTCCGTTCACTGACATGCGCACAATCACATGATAAGTAAATGTGTAAACAATAATTATTGTTTGACACAGCGATCAATGTATCTTTTGTTTAATTGTACGCTTTCTGACGTGGGAAATGTGTCGCCCATGTATTTGTGCAATATAGAGTGATTGACAGTATATATGTGGCATCTGGTATTAGTGATAATCCGATATCGAATTTAAAAGTTTCTAATGCTGGGATCTCGAATTTAAAAGTTTCTAATGCTGGGATCTCGTCAGTCATTGCTATATAGGAAATGGAATAATAGGCCATCATTGTATTGTACGTGTATGTGAAGAGGCCTTTTAATATTAGGGCTTGTATTGGAATTGGATGCCTGATTGTAATCTTGTTTGGGCCCGTTTGGATGTTTTGCTCCTTGGTAGAAATATGAACGCATAGGACGGGAAATATATAGATATTAAACAAATTAAGTTGTATTTATTCTGTTCAGAAAACCACACAAAAACCAATAATAAGTCTGCGATGTATACTTCATTTGGAAATGTCACTTTCTTCCAGCTGACTGAGGAATGATCAAGTACAAAAACCTTCTACAAATATGACAACTGTATTATGTAATGTATACGCATGAACACCCACTAATTATGAATGAATCGGTATATTCTACAGAGTTTGTGTACTGAAAAGGGGCGCAGGGATGGTAGAGGTGGGATATGTTTTACACTACATCAACACAACAAGCTATAAGTCGTATATATAATCATAGGGGCATACAGATTTTATAAGGGGACCATGAAATTCTTACCAAAAACAGCCATTTGAAACGTAAATCTATAATAACTGAAAGAATACAATGCCGTTTTCTGATCAAGTGGAAAACATCATAATGTGATATTATATATACCGCACACCAACATGAATACTTGTGAAATGATGTGATGATTAATAAATCTGTATGTTCTCTAGAGTTATTGAGGAGATACTGTGGTCATGAGTAAACTAACCAAGACTTACAAGGATCAGTTATGTACCTGGATAGGAGGGAGGAAGGACTTCAATCTGCTGTACCAGGCAACCAGAGACGGGTGTAGCGGCCGCAGATGATGCAGCAATTGTCGGCAAACTGAACGACACTGATTCTGAAGAACTGTATAAAGAGGACATTAATCATTTTACGACTTGGTGTGCAGAAAACCACTTACTCTTAAATGTCACAAAAACAAAGGAACTGATAATTGACGTTCCGAGTAAACCCACAGAAATGCTTCCAGTGATAATCAACAATGAATGTGTTGAGACAGTGTCGGAGTATAAGTATTTGGGAACCTTCATTGACTCTAAGCTGAACTGGAACTCTGACACTGAAGCCCTATACAAAAAGTGTCAACAACGTCTTCATCTAATGCGTAAACTGAGATCTTTTAATTTTAACCCATCTGTGATGTCATCTTTTTATGCAGCATTTATTCAGAGTATTTTAACATTTTCCTTCCATTGTTGGTACGGGTCTCTCACTTCATCTCAAATCTAAAATAGACAAAATTGTTAACACTGCAAGTAAAATCGCTGGAGTCAGATTTGAATGTTTATCATCAATATATGAGCGGCAAATCGCGAATCAAGCTGTCAAAATCATATCTGACCATACTCACTACTTAAATTCGGAATACAACCTCCTCCCTTCAGGCCGCCGCTACAAAGTTCCAATTGTGAAAACTAAGAGAGCCCGTACATCCTTTATTCCAAGTACCATATCTCTCTTAAACAAATGTGAAGATACCTAAATCAAAGAATTTATGTAAATATGTTTAGTATCTCTCTAATGTGTCAGTAGCTCTGCTGATGTAACACAAATTCCTGAAAAGGCATTAAAGTATTATTCTATTCTATTCTATATGAGTGCTCATGTCATACTATGTTTACGACACGAGTGCCTAAATGTTGGTATTTCCCGAGCGAGAGCACGAGTGTCGTAAACATAGTATGATATGGGCACGAATATAATATTCTGTTTATTACCGACGTCGTCAAATTGAGGAAAATAAAACCAAATCTACTTTCAAACACAGGCAGAACGCAACGTCACAGAAGAAACGTGACGTCATAGCCTTGTTCATGACGTCACGTCACCATGAAAATGCGATATTTTGCCCTAGGGCATCGTATGAAAAATATGAACCCCGATATGTTCGCCCTCGTAGGTAATAAATAGAGAATACTACACGAGGTCTCATTACAAACGAATTATACGAAACTCGTGTCCTTCCTTCGCACGGTCAGATACCATAGGAAGGTCACGAGTTTGATTTGCGATATAGGGTGGAACAGTGTGATTGTTTAGAAAGAGTTCACCGTTTACGATTTTAAGGTGAGAAGTTTGGCGGAGATTCGATCCTAAACATACGAAGGTCTGTGCTAATCAATAAATTTTAGCAGCCAAAACTGTATACCTTAGCCGTGTCAGAGATACCAATAATATCACGAAATTGCCAACGATTGACCCCTATAAAAGCCGAAAAACGCTGGTTTATAGTTTCAATAATGCGCGGTATGTACACATTTCTAAACAGCGCATGGTATGCCATGCTTATTTCGCAGTTGATTGATGATGTATTTATTTATTTATTTTTATTTCCCATATTTCATGTACAGGCAAACATGTATAGATAAGTTTCATAATTATACAATGGTATATGTATACATGTATGAAAATGTACAGTTGGCTGAAAAAGTATAATTGGCTGGATTAATTTCCAAGTAATAAATGTAATGTTGACCAATATTGAAAAAATAATTGCTCAGTTCCCGCTGATAGGTAAACATATCTTGACATATCATGGTGACGGACAATTTCATTTTTTAAATATTCTAACTTTGGTTTGAAACCATTTATGCTGCATCTGTAGATATAATGTTTGACTACTGAAATGATTTCATTAATCGGATTATTGTTTTATCCTTTTAATCCCAATATAACGATTTTATTTGTGAGTTCAACTTGTAACTATACTGAGTTCAACCATGATTCTATTTATTTCCATAATTTAAAAACAAATTCACATTCTCATAACATATGATTGATAGTTTCTCTTTCTTGTTCACAAAATGGCCATATTGGTGAGGATGTGTATCCAATTTTATAAAGTTGTTGTAATGTTGGGGGGATATTGTGGATAATTCTATATTGCAACCATTTCAAGTCTTTGCTTCGCGAACATTTATTTGCAATAATGTTTCAACAATTCCAGTCATTTTCATTAAAATCACCCTTTAGAACTCTTTCCCATTTTGAAAAACTTGGCTACCGAACAAATTTTGAGTTCAAGAGGGAGGCGTATAGTTTTTTACTCCCAATTATGGTGTCAATGTTTGAGAAATTAAAGGGATAAATTGGTTCGCTTAATTTCTTTTTAAATTGCTTTATATTCAGTGTTCGAGCATATGTTATAATTGCCTTTTTCACTGATTCATATGTTAAGAAATTGGTTTTCATTGAAAACATATTGGAAAATTCTTTATATGTGAACAGTCTGCCTTCTTCATGTAGTAAATCATTTACAAAAACGACACCTTTTTTGTACCACTCAAGATACAGAAAGGGATGACTATCAATTCTGATATTGTCGTTATTCCATAAAGATTGGCATTGTATCTCTTCTTCATTTACAATTTCTCTTTTACACATGGATATAAAGTTCGACCATTCTAAAGGTATGTCTTTCCAAAAGGAGTTAGTTGAAGAGGGAATTATTTCATTTTGTATATAGTAACTATCCGTCAGTAAAAATAGTGTCCTGATTTTAAACTGACTGGTGATGAGAAACGTCCATTTGAGGTCATGACCGCTTATTCTATTTATCCATTTTAATTTTTGTGAAGATATAATTTTTTTAATATTTGGAGTTTGTATCCCCCCATGCTCTGGGTTTAACATCATTACATCTCTTTTAATCTTATCAGGTTTGTGGGGCGGTGGGGTAGCGTAGTGGTTAAAGCGGTCGTTCGTCACGCCGAAGACCCGAGTTCGATTCCCCACATGGGTACAATATGTAAAGCCCATTTCTGGTGTCCCCCGCCGTGATATATCTGGAATATTGCTAAAAGCGGCGTAAAACTAAACTCACTCACTATCAGGTTTGTTTTTCCATATGAAATTAAAACACTTTTTTTAAAGTCTTTCAATGACACGTTTTTTTCGGATTTGGTAGAGATGAGAATAGGTGGTTAAGCTTAGGTAGTAGAAGTGATTTAAGAACAGTATTTCTTCCGTACCGGGTTAAGGTACGAGCTGACCAAATGTTCATGTGCCTTTCAATCTGAGCTAGTTTTTCGTTGTAGTTTATTTCAACCATATTATCAAGATCAATATCGAAATGTATTCCCAAGAGCGTGAAGTCTGTTTGTGACCAGTCAAAATTCCATTCTTTACATATCTTATATCGGGATATCTTTTTGGAGCCTATCCATATTAGTTTAGTTAATCTACGTTGACTTTTAAACCTGAAAAACGGGCAAATAGTTCTAAAGTACTCAAAACTGCATAGAGGCATTTCTCTGATCCGTCTAATGGAAGTGCTGTATCATCTGCGAACTGTGATAGAAGATATGTTAAACTTCCAAGTTTAATCCCCTTTATATTTTTGTTGTTCACGTAATCTAGTTTTTAAATTCCTGATATGGGGCGATGATTTCGTCCTCCTAAAAGAATTGTCCTTATTTCCAGTTATTCAAAATTCATTTTTTATATCATTTGTAAATAAGCATTTATAAATTTGCGCCTGTGTTCATTTCTTCTCAGCTTTCAAACTTTTGCATATTAAATAGTTCTCACCGTGACACAGTCTCCTCGCATAATATAATATTTAAGCGAGGTGGTTGTAAAATGATTAAGCGTTCGCTCGTCATGACAAATACCCGGGTTCGATTTCTGGAGTCCCCCGCCGTGATATTGCTGGAATATTTCTAAAATCGGCTTAATCTATAGTCAGTGACACGTATCGCAGTGTCACTGACCAATTATAGCCTTAAACCGAGGAGATGCAGGAGATTTATAATAAGGTGACCAACGGGATGGATGGGTCAGGCTTGCAGACTTGGTACATGTCATCGTATCACAATTAAAAAGTGCTCTTGATGTCAACCACTGGATTGCCTGGCCAAGACTTTCACATATTGCTGAGTGAGGCGTTAAACAACAAACAAACAAAGCTTATATGTTTCGTTTATGTCACGGAGATGTTGCTATTATGGGATCAGATTTATCACTTGATAGTTATAAGTTCTTAGCATCACGTCGATACGTGTTTCTTAAATTTTTAGTAAGATCATCTTCAAATCTTCTTCTATTAAATTTTCAATTTTTACGAGCATTCGCACAAAGCAAATATTGATGTTATGGTGTTCATAAAGGAAATACTGTATAAAAATATACGCGTGGTTCGTTGACTTGTAAGTAAGGAGTACATCAGAAGCTTTCAAGTTGATTGGCTGATAAGACAGCTCTGACACGCTCACCTGGAGGTGTTCCTAGATCCTGATGTAGAGAAATATAGCCTGGTATAGAGAATAAAGCGAGAAAAGAAACAGATGTATCCAGCTCAAATGATCTTTACAATCATTTAGGACGAAACAGCCACAGAAATTAATCATTGTTTTGATGTTTAGTTTGTGTACACATCGAGGTGACGGGATCGAGCCCACCTGTGACCGGTTGTAAAAAGCTTTGTGTGCAGACTGTTTCAGTGTTGTCACAACCACTAGTGCACTTAAAAGAGCCCACGAATCCGTTGGTATATGATCAGATGGTGGCCACATGAATACGTGCAAACACCCAGTTGCCGGTACAGCAACGTGCAGTAAACGTGGACAAGGTATTGTGACTATGTGTCCCAGTCCACCCAGCTGTGAATGGGTACCTCATAAGGATGGGAATGCCACACTAACTCGGTGCGCCTAGTTGCTGCAAGAGTTGTATGATCCCCAGGGAGTTGAGATTGACAATAAGATGTGCCGTTGAGATTGACAGCCAGTGATGGAGGGAAAAACAAAGCGCCTTTGAGCAGCTGAGCTGGATATGGCGCTATACAAATGAAACTCACGGGCGAAAGAAACGTCACCTCGCTTTTTTACATGTCACAAAACAACAAACTCAGATTTTGTAAATTTAACAATCATATGTGGAAAATTAATGGATTTAAAGATTCATTGTGAATGATGAAAGTGTGAACTACAGATATGAATAATCACTTAGTGTACGATAAAAGATAAAAAAATATCATTTTGGTGACGTTTCGTTTCTTTCGCCCGTGAGTTTATGTATGTATGTATGTATGTATGTATGTATGTATGTATGTATGTATGTATGTATGTATGTATGTATGTATGTATGTATGTATGTATGTATGTATGTATGTATGTATGTATGTATGTGAGGTGAGGTGAGGTGAAATTGGGTTTAACGTCGTGCTTGAGAATATTTCGCTCATATGACGACGTGCATGCGTGTGTATGTGTATGTGCGGCTGCTTGTACTAGCCCAGACTTAAGCTGGTTTTATAGTGCTAGCTCACTGAGATACCATGCCGCAATGATGCATGAATACCCCACTCAGACACATTATACTGACTCCGAGCTGACCATTCCTTGTTGTACCCATTAATGCCGAGCGCCAGGCAGGGACCAACAAGTACCATATATTAACGTCTTTTGGTATGACGCGGTCGGGGATCGAACCCGCGACCTTCCGCTCTCCGGGCGAACGCTCTAATCACTACACCACGGAGGCGGTCCGTATGTATGTATGTGTGTATGTATGTATGTATGTATGTATGTATGTATGTATGTATGTATGTATGTATGTATGTATGTATGTATGTATGTATGTATGTATGTATGTATGTACGTACGTACGTACGTATGCATGCATGCATGCATGTATGTACGTACGTATGTATGTGTTTTTCAATAGAATGTGAGTGAAAAATCTTCTTGATCTGAAGAATGGGAGTGTCATAAATTTTAAGGTGTTATAATCTGTGGTTCATTAGACGAACTGCAATTCTATATGTTATTTTCAAATTGCATGCCTCAGATGTTTGGATAACATCAATAGAATCTGTTTGTGGCGGAAATAAGTCAAACAAGCCCTACAAAATGTTATAGTTACTTCCCTTTACCTCAGGCTTCGCTTTCCTGGAAATCACGTGACAGGAAAGTCTCGACAACTCTGCACAGTGAGGTAAGTACGAGAGGATCAGTCAGACAGGTAGTCAGTGTGAGATTTAGTGGATGTGTCGGAGTGAGTGAACAAGACTGTGGAACTATTGTAACAGTAAAACCATTTCTGTTATTTGGATATCTACCAAGATTTGTACTTGGGGCGCCCAACCATGCTACAATGTGTTCAAAGTTCTACTTTCGCTATCAAACCCTGTTATCAACCCGAGACGGGACCGTTCATGAACAGTTTTTCATCACTGATAAGAGTCGTCAGTAGTGATCCGCTTAAACTGCACGCGTTGACCGGAAGTAAGAATTTCCGCCCCATTGCCTATTTGTTGTTGTTGTTGTTTCTTTGTCGAGGTGTCAGTAAATTATCTCGGGTTGACGCAAGAAGGGAGCAGAATGCATTCGAAATCGTCCTCTTTGAAAAAAACATACGAATCATGCTGACGTATAGGATTATCCCACGGCGACATGGCGAGTTGTTAAAGTGGCAAAGCAAATACCACATTTCAGTTCAGGTGATCCACTCATTTTAAATGTTATTTAGGTCATGTTGAATGATATCTGCAACGATATCTGACAAACAAGCGAGCGTAATTAATAGAATAATGCGGTATGTTTAACACAACCGTGTTCCCCTTGACAATGAATGTACTAGTATTTTAAGTAATAATGTACTCTTTAATGTAACCACATCTCAACATTTATTGTAAAAGAACTGTAATGTATTCTAACTGTAATGTATTCTGTAATGTGTTCTACACTACACACACCAACTAGTTCTATACAATACATTGTCTGTTAGTGGTCAAATATGTTTCTGTGGCAGTGTTACACCACGTCACAAACTCATATCGACGAAAGCATGTCAGATATCAGAGGTAAAATCATTTCTTGGCTCTGCTTTTCTGTTTACTAGGGTCGGTCAGAAAGTAGTCGGCCTAACTATATTCTCGATGTCCACTGTTTGAAAAGGTTCCATTTTATTTAGAAGGAATCATGAGGAAAGCCATATCCAACATTTCACATATGTGGGTAATGTGGTTAAAGAGTTATGTTAGTCATCACAACACATTGGGGTATAATATTTCTGAAAATATTGCAGAAATGAAAAACGATCTGTCATTTGGTGCCTCTTGGATAACGGTATGTCCTCAGATAATATCGTATAAAATATGTTCAGTATTGTATTGGACTTCCCGCCATAATCAACAGTCAAAGATTTGGATTGCTTGACCCCAGCCATTTTAATAAACAATGTGTCCAGATATTTAAGCTGGTACTGTTTACAATATATTGAGTGCTGACACTTGTGTGACCATTCAGTTTTTAGTTTGAACCCTTGTATGAATAAGTGAAAACATTAGAATAAATTATGTCCTTATGATTACGTCATCTGAAAGGGGTTGGGTAGTGTCTCCATAACAAGCTCTTTCAGTAAACATCATGGGGGAGTCACTTTAACAAGCGATTGTAGTTTCAAATTGCATTTTTATGGACTTTAATATCTACGTTTGATTCTACAGGACCCCTGCCTATCTCAAACACACTAAATGTTTCTTACATATTTTGTGTCCTGAAGTTTGTGATGCATTAATTGCAGATTTTGTGTTTGTGGGGGGTATCAAGATAAACAGCCAACCAAAATGGGCATCATGGGGCTGGAACATAGCAAAACCAATTTGCGTGAGGTTGACAGATAATATGTAGAAATTATAGCATAAAACAGCTGCATTTGTATCATTTCTGGGTGAGACCGACTACAAATGATGGACGGGACTGACTTTCAGCACACAACAACAGAGAGAATATTTCGATATTTCTGGACATTTAATCTCCATAAAACCAACAACGTGTAAAAGTGTCTGTGATAATAACATATACAAGATGTGTTTGCAATGTAAGAGAACATGCTGCCATCAGGTACCGTGGACTTTTGCTGCAGGTCCTTATTTGTGACCTCATATTCCCATAACCCCATTCCGTTGAAAGCACTGTCCGTAGACGAAATCTATTTGCCACGGGCCTACGGACAGGCGCTTATTTCCAACACAGAATACAATAACGCGTGGTTAATTAGTGTTTTACAACATCAGATCATGGAACGAACTTTGACGAAGAAGGATCAGAAACAACTGAACAGATGGTTAAACGCAAGGAAGGACTTTGAACTGCTGTACAAGGCCACCCGAGATGGTTGTTCCAACACCGCCTTCCACCAGAAGTGTGACAACAAGGGGCCTACAGTCACAGTCTTCTATAACACGTCGGACTGCGTGTTTGGTGGCTACACCTCGGTCAGCTGGGACTCTGCTGGTGCCTACAAGGTCGACCCGACAGCATTCCTGTTCCGTTTGTACTTCAAAGGTTCCAGCAGCCCTAAACAATACCCAGCAACAAACGGCACCAATGCAATTTACGGAAATGCTAGCTATGGCCCTACTTTTGGGACTGGTCATGACATTTACAGTTTCAATGCGACTGTGGCCTTGAGCGGTGCATCCTTCCCACTCAATGGTTCTTTGGCTCCTGGGAACAGCTACGCCATGGCGGGAGACAATGCCGCATCACTGGCCTGTTCCAGTCTCAACTGCTACGATGTGGAAGTCTACAGTGTGAAAGGTGGGTTTGACAGACAGTTTGAATGTCAGGAGTTATTGTCGACCAATGACGATCGGGGTTAGAATATGTTTTCAGCAACCCATGACTGCTAACGGGTTCGGGTGATCAGTTTCGCAGACTTTGTTGATGCATGCCATTGTATGTCAGTTGCGTAGGTCGATGTTCATGTTATTCCTCAGCTGATTGTCTGGTTCAGACTCGATTATTTTGCAGACCGCCGTCATATAGCTTTAACATGGCTGAGTGCAGCGTTAAACAACAGAGTTATTGTCATAATACTTTATACGAGTGACCACATGGTCAGAATTGTGAATTGGTTGATTGTGTGTCATTAGACCCTGGCGTTGTTGATCATTACCCACAATAGTAACTGGATTTCGCGGTACAGACTTGATTAGGCCCTTCCTGTCATGCATCATATACCTGGAACAACAAACACGTGTATTGTAATTGCCATGATTCTTATTAATATCATGACAGAAACATGCACCCTAACTTTTGCAGATGGAAGCATTATCAACGACGACCCATGGAGACAACTGACAGAATCTAATTCAGTAACTGAATTTTGTGGTTCAGACTTGATTGGGCCCTTCCTGCCATCATATACCTGGGATATTGCGGGGGTGAAGCAGCAAACACATTTATTGTAATTGATATGTTGTTGTTTTTTATTTATAAGATGCTTGAAACATGCGCCATAACTTTTGCAGATGGAAGCATTCTCAACGACGACCCATGGAGACAACTGACAGAATCTAAATCAAAGGTAGACAGCAGTTTTCCACGTCTGAACATATTTATATGTCAACTCAATTTCTGACATTAATGATTAGCTCCCTTTGAGGAAACTATTTCAGAATAGATTTCGATTACACAAATAATGTCACACCAAATTGTCCTGGAATATTCACTTACTAAGCGGACACTACAGAACACCGTTAGCGTTAAGATAGCCTTTCTGTCTATGTCCAGAAACGACAGGCGGTAGTGTATGAGCTCTTCGACAAGATTCAAAACAAGGCAGGTTTTTGATTAAATGGTTCTTTGGTTGGGGCACCAGCCTTCATATTCTGGTGGGTACCTTGAAACAGACTCCTACTTCCACAAATTATCCACCTCCCATTCATACATTGGTTGGCGTATCTCCCGAACTTAGTACCTTTTTGGTGACTTAAAATACTTTACCTCTACCAAGACTCCAGTCCCACTCCAGCTCTGTTTATTTCAGGAAACGAATCCATTTCCTGGAACAGCTAGTGAATCAAGCGAATCTAAAACCTGTCATGTGGATATTTTATTTTAGTAACTTGCATGCAGCTACTGACATCAGTGTTGGTGCTTCAGGTTCTGAAATCCGAGATCGAAACATATTCACCCATCGATGGGGTGAAGGTAGGACGAGTCAACATTCTACTGGTGGGGGCGGTAGGAGCCGGTAAGTCCAGCTACTTCAACACCATGAACTCAATCTTCAGAGGTCACGTGACTAGTCAAGCCTGTAGCGGAAGTGCCGAACACAGTCTTACGACGAATGTGAGTCGATTTATAATATTTGTGTGTGAAAGTTTCCGTTTTGATCATGCATCTTCACGAGGTAAGGGAGGTAACTAAGAAAGTCAAGTTTCCACCCTTGAGGAACTAGGCGATAATTATGGAGTAATAGTTTTGCTGGCATGAATAGTCTATGCATATTCTGAAATCACTCTAACCCCTAAAACGAAATTCTCCGTAAGTGACAAATGCTTAAAATGTGTTCCGTATATTATTCAACTTTTACAACATCGCTAGACAATTTTTGTCTTCACTTATTAATCAGAGCCACCATGATAATAGTTCATTCTATCGACAAACCTGAAATAGTGAAGGCTTACTCGTAGAAATCTGTTAGATGCTATGTACAATTTAAAGCATGTGTTTTTTTAAAAATTGTTGTTGACATATTTTATTGATGATTCATAGATATCTGAGAATACGCTGCAAGATTTATGTATATAAATTTTACTCTAAACACATTGCTAGACTTATATACTTTTTATTTATTCATTTCAGATGTGTGAGTATAACAGTCACAACGTTTTTAATCAAGTTATGTTAGCATATCAATGAATCCATGTTTGTGTTAAACACATGAACCCTAGCGTAATGATACCAAAGGCAGGAAACTGACATGTATTTTTCTCCTAGTATCGGAAGTACAAAGTCCGGTCCTCCGAGACGGGTAAACCACTTAAGTTCCGACTGTGTGACACACGAGGCCTAGAGGAAGAGCAAGGCCTGGACGCGACTGACATGGTAGCCATATTGGATGGCCACCTTCCTGACAAATATATGGTACTTCATGGTGCTATTTAGATCTCATATCATCAATGCAAAACCCAAAATGATCATTAGTGACATGTCGGGTCAAATGCCTTCCGGGTGAATGTATGTTCCATGTTCGTCCAAATATGTGCAACGTAACTCGTTTAAGTTGATTTAATCCACCATTTATCTTCTGCCCTAAATCCTTATTCACAATAATTACTCATAACGTTTAGTATGATCTGAGATCCATGTTGATTGGACCTAAAGAAAGTTCTGGAACATTGTCCGCTTCAGGTATTGGTATTTCATGAAGGTCCATAAACGACATTAATGTTTTCAAAAACATACAACAGATCCTTTTATGAGCGCATGATATCTAGATGTCACAGAATGTATTTTATATTAGTACTGTCTTGGATCAATAAATGTGTACTCCCATGTTTTTTTCGAATCATTTGTCACCACTCGCCCCTTTCCGTAACAGGTATTCGGCTTGTCCCGGAATAACACGAGTTGGTCACTAATGATTTCGAATCCCAGAAGGCTCCCTGTGAGTCGGTGCTTGTTTGGAGGCTTTGTGACATGGCTGTTCACACAACACCGTATCCCGGTGCTCTTTATTGCGTTGTTCGGTCCGTAGTCTATTATTTACAGTCTATGATGTCTCTGTAATACTGGGGTAACCTTACAGGTAAAGTGTCCGCTCATAACGCCGAAGACATTGATTCGAGTCCCCACATGTTTCAATGTGTGAAGCCCACTTCTGGTGTCACCATCCGCGATATTACTGGAATATTGCTAAAAGTGGCTTAAAACCATACTCACAGAGTCTGGAATATTGCATATTGTGGTGTTTAACAGTATGCACGCAGAATATGTTTGTTTCAAACCTACCTTTTTTGTTCCCAGTTTAACCCAGCTGTGTCAATTTCGCTTGACACCCCAGGTTACAATACGGCCCCTGTAACACAAGACAAGATACACTGTGTGGCATTCGTCATGGATGGCTGTTCCGTGGACGTTTTCTCGGACAAAATTCTGCAGAATATGAAAGCAGTACAGCAGAAAGCAAACCAGAGAGGTACACAAACTCAAACATTTTAGAGCGCACAATCCAAATTAATAACATATTCAGCCAATGAAATTCGAATTTGTTTTGAAGCTAGCTTGAGAAACCTACTACCCTTTGCCAAGAGTAACAAACCCGTGAAGATCCGGGTCTACAGCAACCCAGGAAGGAGTTACACTTCAATTGTGAAGTCCAGTTTTTACAGTTGTATTGTACAGTGTATTAAAGTTGCAGTGGTTTCACGTGAAAATTCAACGACCTGAATCTAACTAGTAGCCTAACCCGTAATGCCTAGTGTTCTAAACCACTCGCCTCTTTCTTTGAATTCTTTCCATAACCCGACTGCCACATTGTGTCTCTATGAGGTATCCGGTCGCATTTTATTTTATAGATTTTGTTTAGACTGCGCAAAAGCTAGTTGGCGTTTAACTTTTCCTCGCCCAATCAAATCTTGTTTTAATTTCTTTAGACTAGATTTCACTATAACTCAACAGGAAGGTAGAATTCACTTCCGTTCTAATTTTATTCTATACAGGTATACCACAAGTGGCCATCTTGACCAAGGTGGATAAGGCCTGTCCACATGTTGAAGAGGATCCGGGGACCCTGTTCTACAGCTCTGCAGTCAGTGAACTGGTGGAACAAGTGTCCCAACTCATTGGTCTGCCCCGTGCCCACGTTCTGCCCGTGAAGAACTACGAGAAGGAAATGGAGCTGGTGGATAACGTGGATGTTCCTGCTCTGATCAGCCTCCGTCAGATGCTAAGATTCGCCGATGACTATCTCTACAACTTCCTGGATGAGGAGGAAGATTAGAAAGGGAACCATACTGATGCCAATGATCAACGCAGATGTTCTGTACCTTTTCGTTGTATATGTTTTGGGTTCCTCATTTTGTTCATGGTTTCAAAATAGCCTGTTTGAAAGGTGGTAGGCGTTTTCCGATCAGACTGTTAAGAAAATATGAGATATTATACCTTTTGCATTTACACATTACTCATTTACTACAACATTCAAATTGTAATCTTTGATAAACATATGCATAAATTGTTGATTTCAATAATTTTGACATGCTTAGAATCATATAAAACACGCTTATGGAAGACAATAATCGTCAAACCTAATCATAAATGATAAATCGTTCCTCTCCCCAATATATATCTATAGTTAAAAATGTTAAACGGCATCGTATCAGGTCAAGTCAAAACGATAACAGAGAAGTAACTTTATTCAGTATAACAGTTGAGAACACATTTTAAAGGCACTATATTTCACACCACACTTTTCTAAAAATATATAATCCATTTCTCTCAGTAATACTAACTATCAGCCCCCGAGAAAGCTAGTATATAGTATATTCCAAAACAAATTACGTATTTAGATTACAGTGTTAAATTAAAACGTTCGAATGAATAAATGCAACTTTGCATTAAATCGACTCTTGCGCCCTCTACCGGCCGGACATTATTTCAAGCGAACCCCATAGAGTGAAAAAAAGAAGCGTTTTATTTGTCAAGTCTGAATCTCTTCCGTTGACGGACACATTCAGCGATTGGTTTGACATGCTTGTACATGATCTGTGTGCGTTGTGGACAAGCGTGTTTTTGCGTCTATAAACACATTTTATATCCATACATGTGTCTCGAGCACTTATACGTTCCTTTGGCAGAAACACTGTTTGCAAATATTTGAAACATTTCCATCTATATACATAGCTAAAACATTACTAATATGATGTAAACTGTGGACGCATTCACTGATAGTAAAGTTCGTTATTCATCATATTGAACACTGAACGTGACCGAAAAACATTGTGAAAGAAGACAAGCTGCAACTCCCTTTATTTACTTTCCGTATCTTATAAGGTTACTCCAATATTTGTCATATCCAAGCTAACTATTTTTTCGTTTGAAAACATCCTATGTATGCATCTTTCTCTTTTTATATTTTATAATTTAAATGTGTTTTTATTCCTTTTATACAGTCAATTCATTTTTAACAAATACCTTTACAATGTATGTATATTTAATTATCTTATGTATCACACCACACTTCTATAACGGTAAAGTTCGTTATTCATCATATTGAACACTGAACGTAAACGAAAAAGATTGTGAAAGAAGAACTCTGTTTTTTTACCTTCCTCATCTCATAAGGTCTACCCCAATATTTCTTATATCCTAGCTAACTATTTTATCGTTTGGTGACATTCTATGTATGCATCTTTATGGTATATTTCCCTTTTATATTTTACATTTTAAATGTGTCTTATGTCATTTCGTTCTATATTGTCTATCATAACCCATTTTTTGTGTGGCTTGCTGTACTTTTAAGTAACTTCTATGTTTGTATTTTATATTAATTGGTGAGAGGTGAATAAAAAAATCTGTCTGTCTGCCTGTCTGTCTCTACGATCGGGAAGGATGGGGGTAAGAGGCTAGGGAGGGGGATGTGGGAGGAACACACTGAGTTCATAGACATACTTCCAATAACGATGAGAAGTTTGCTAACGATGATGGGTGGTAAATATGCAATGATCAGATGAAAATGGAGAATCCACGAAATGTATCATAAACTAATGTACGACAGTTGCCAACCTGTTACACACAGGATATTCAGGAGAAATTCACCTCTCTTCTCGCGATCGGGTGGTCAGGCTCGCTAACTTGGCTGACACATGTCATCAGTTCCCAATTGCGCAGATCGGTGATCATGCTGTTGATGACTGGATTGTCTGGTCCAGACTCAATTATTTACAAACCACCGCCTTATAGCTGGAATATTGCTGAGTGCGGCGTAAAACTAAACTCACTCACTATCCTCTCCTCTACTGGCAGATTTGAAGAATTGTTTATATTTCGTGGAATCGTTGATCCATCGAACTGAGCAACCGATCAATTGGTTGCAAGACACGCATGAGGGGAATGAACTTTTTGGCAGAATGATACCTCATTATCATTCCGTTTCATTTTTATGCTTTAATAATGATATTGGTTTGTTTGTGGTTTGCTATGAAATATGGTTGGAATGGGTATTGATGTTTGGCTCCAGAGGGGACTACAGTATACGTACTTGTACTCATAAAGTTCAGACATCTCTACCTGTGGTTCGACTATGACTGTCGAATTTTTGGTGCAAAACGGATGTGTATGATTTAAATTGGAACGTGTTCCGACAAATTAGCTAAACATGACATTGTTTTCAATCTAACACAAATATAGAGATGCTGAGCATAACTGATAAGATGTTTTGGATGGACACTTTTATTCGAAAGTGGCGTTTTTTCGTTTGGCTTTTACCTGCCGTATATCTATGACCCTTAGAGTGATATGATTTTGAATAGACCATTAAGCTTCGGCATTTTCCATATATGGTCAGTGAGCGAGTGGGTTTAGTTTTACGCCACAATCAACAATATTCCAGCAGTCTGTAAATACTGTACCAGACAATCCAGTGATCAACAACATGAGCATCGATCTACACATCTGGGATACGATGACATGTGTCAACCAAGTCAGCGAGCCTGACCGCCCGATCCCGTTAGTCGCCTTTAAGGACAAGCATGAGATACCGAAGATCAATTCTAACCTGGATGGTCAGGGGTTGGGTGAAGCAATAGGCCTGGTAGGGTAGGGACAGAACCTCAAATTAAAATCAAAATCCTAAAACCCATTCCACAAAACCTATTCCACAACCAAATACTAATAACTAGATTCTAATAGTAATACCAATACTAACTAGTCATATTAATTCATAGCTACATTCGATACTGAATAGTAACTACACCATATACACTATATACTAACAGCTTTATGCCAGTATCAAGATTAATTCCATGCAAATAACTAAATATTAATATTAACATTAATAGTAACTTTACTGTATGCTTTTACTGTGGGTAACTGTAGTCATGGAACCTGTGGCTGCCCCTATGTATTACTGATAAGTGTGTATTGTTCATGTCCATCATTTCCCTACTTAATAATAGTAATAAAGCGCTCCTGTGCTCTCTAACCCATGGTCCAAACAGACAAATCTGTGATATCAACAACTTAAGCATCCCTCGAATGATAATAACTGGTTCAGGTTGTACCGTTGTAAAATGTTGTGTTATTTCCTGGATTGTTTTACATAAAGGGACATAACTCCATGACCTAGTTTACAAGTAGGCGAAACTATCGCTGTACACACGTGGTTCCGGAGGAGTCCAAACGTTGTGTGATTCAAAGGTACATACTTGATTTAACTGACGATATACGTTGGTGTTGCAATACATCCTTGACATGTCAACTAGTTTGTGTCAAATATAAGCGGAAGCCGAGTTCATAACGCTGATAATATGTGCTTGGTAAATAGCTGTCAACCCCTGATCTCGAGTTCCAATGAGTGAGAAGCCCCAACGCCAAAATTAGTTTTTTGGGTTAAAATGATGATTTTTGTGTGAATTGTATCTAGTTTATAAGAATTTCAATAATGCGTGAGTTTAGAGAGGTAATGCGTGAGTGCGTGACTTTCGGGGTAAAATGCGTGAGTTTCCCGCAGGATGCGTGAGAGTTGACAGATCAATTAAAGTACCCAATACCCAAATAAGTTGAAGTACAGTCAAGGCACGACCCTGCATCGCGGCTCTCTGATACCAATTCGTTAACTAATCTTGCATTGCAAACGTGTTTTTCCATTTCAGCTGACGCTTCGAGCGTAATCAGGCGCCGCTATCTGTAAGAAATTTACTTATAGGTGATACTCTGTAGGATCATGTCGGCTCTTAAAGGTCTCGGTACCCAATACCCAGAGGCTACAATGTTTCATGTAAACTTACAGTCATAACAATTTAGGGTTGAAGTAGCGTAAAATAATTATCCTCCGAAGAGGGCACTTAATTAAGACCACACCAATTCAGAATTTTAATCGTAGAATGTTTGTAGTTTTAATTTATGGCTAAATTGCTCAAAATTCGCCAACAGCCGAAGGGATGATGTAAATCCAGCTAGGTTCCATGCACGTAGCAAAAGTAATATAAGTCCCCATGGTCCCTAGCATGGTGATCTACTTTCAGTTGCTGGCGATATCGATCCATACCAGATTTTATATTGTGTTGTTTTGAAATGGTTTAGAGCATTTTACAATAACCTCAAACTACTGTAGTTTTAATTAATTTGTGATAATCTAGTTGTTACACTGTCCTGAGCTGACAGGTTTTTAAAAAGTATAAATATATTTATTCTTAGTACATAACAATTTAGTTCACTTGTGTGACTGTCCGTTTTCACCTACAGTTTTCCCAGAAATTATTGAGAAAATCTTTGTTTCCTAAAACTGATAATAGAGTATCACAATAGGTGTTACATTATGATTGTAGTAAGGTACTCAGTATGGGAGGCAACTCTTGTAGGCTGAAGAATGAACCTTACTACATCAATAGTTATCTCCCCTGGTGTAGCAGACAGCTTCCTTTGTTGACATGCATATGGCAGATTTGACAGCAGACGCGACTAGAGGGCTGGATCTAGATGATTTTAAATGAGTGTGATTAATGCAATACAGTTAGCTGGTAGACATGACATTCCTCTGTCATAGAATATTCTATCAGGAGTTGGGATTGAGCACAAGACAGGGGCAGGGATGCCAAGGAAGTTCAGTACTACGGATCGCCGGCGACTTGGTCAGATTGTGAGTAGGGGAAAATTGAAAAGCTTTGAATATCAGAAATGAGATTATTACTAAAGGAAGTCCTCAGGTATGTAATAAAACCCTTAGCCAAGAATTAAAAAAACTTAACTTGGTGAAAAATCGCGGATGTCCCTCACCATTGATGACAAAAAGAAAGACGTTTAATCTGGTGTAGGGCGCACGAAAATCAAGATTGGGATAATGTTTTCTTTTCTGATGAAAGCTCTGTCTGGCTTTTTCCGAACTCTGTGAAAATTTGGACTAAACCTATCTACCAATGGCATTATGCCCAAAACATACCTTTACTTCGATATTATCCATTACTATACTCAGCAGCAAAAAAAAAAGTCACTACGAATTCAAAATTAAATAGGCACTGTAATCAAATCATTACAGAAATGGACATAAGCGGATCCCAAATTTTTTGTGTGTACAATACCTTGACACAACAATAAATAACTCAGCACAATTCCAAGACATTACGTGAACGTTTGCAGTCCATTCAGACTCTTGACTTCAGTATCTAGTGAGACACACTACGAGCGGCAATATCTGCAGCACAGCGTCTATGCATGGAGTGCACCAATCGATTGATGAAGGCCATGGCACCTTGAACCACACACTGAGAGAGGCCTGGCGCAACAAACCGGCTGTGTTCGGCCTTGGTATGACATTATTCAGTCTTCTGTGAATTTCATCCCAATGCTGTTCAACTGGGTTTAAATCAGGACTAAGGGCTGGCCACTGCATAATGCTGACACTGTTCCGCTGTGGGAAGTCTGGCAGTATTGGCCCGGGCGTTATCATGCTGGAAAATGTTGTTCCGGTGACGTGCGAAATGTGGTATGAATTGAGGTCTGAGAGCTTGGTCGATGTAGCGCACCGCTGTGATGCGCCTCCCCTCCCTGGACCAAGGTTCTGGAACACCACAGGACCAATTCTCTGGTTCAGGTATATTCCACCCCATAACATGATGCTTGCACCTCCCTATGAGTCTCTAATTTCCATAACACATTGGTCTGAGTAACGCTGGCCAAGTCGTCGCCATATTATTGTTCTGCCATCTGCAATTGATACGCAGTGCCGACTCTCATCTGTGAACAGAACAGTTCTCCATATCATTGCCTGTATCGCCAGAACTGATGTATATTTCATTTGGAAATGACACTTTCTTCTAGCTGATTGAGATATGGCAGGGCCATTTGAAACGAAAATCTGTAATAGCTGAAAGTAATACAGTGTCGTATTTTGATTAAGTAGAAAACATGGTGTGATGTTATATGTACCACTTACAAATATGACAACTGTATAATGTAATGCATATGCATGAACACCTACTAATTATGAATAAATCGGTATATTCTACAGAGTTTTTGAGGAGATACTGTGGTCATGAGTAAACTAACCAAGACTTACAATGATCAGTTATGTACCTGGATGGGAGGGAGGAAGGACTTCAATCTGTTGTACCAGGCAACCCGAGACGGATGTAGCGGCCCGACCTTCCATCAGAAGTGCGACAACAAGGGAGCAGCCGTCTCTGTCTTCTACAACACTGCTGGGTATGTGTTCGGTGGCTATACATCGGTCAGCTGGTCAAGTGATGGAACCTACAGATCAGACCACCAGGCCTTCCTGTTCAGGCTTCAGGCTGCGAATAGTTTTCAACCGCAAAAGTATCCCGTAAAGACGGAAAATGTGCAACATACCGTTTATCATAACCCTGACTGTGGATCAACCTTTGGAGGAAGACATGATTTGTTCCCTTTCAGTTCAACTATTAATAAACAGAACAATTATTTCCAAGGCAATGGATACACAAGTCCAAACTCTTACAACATGTTAGGAGGCAGTACATCCACCTTCACAGGAGACAATTTACAGTTTACTGATGTGGAAGTATGTCAAGTTACAGGTGACAATCTCCTATAAACTTTATTGAACAAGTCACTCCTTACATTCCGTTTGCCCTGAACGTTGATACCAGTGATATCCTATTGGAGCGTACTGATAGACTTCACTCATTTTTGTTTTTTTCTGTCTATTTGAGTATGTCCATTACCTCTCTCTCACAATATGTGACTCCAGGTTGAACTGAAGTGAAATACTCCAGAAGCTATAATTCATAAAAGTTAACATGTTGTCAAGCCTGAATGGTATTAATTTACTTCCTGACAGGAGCGACGTCGGTCGGAATATATCATTCAGTAATTTCTAGTGTTTATCTCGATCAGCAGCTGTTGTTTGTAAGGGAAACGACTATCATGTTCGAGGAAGACTTGGATCTCGACATGGATGTTGATTTTGTTGTAACTGAAAACAAGTCAGTCACTAGAGTTAAATTAAACTCTTTAACTCAGTTTGTTAGTTGTCACATTTTTGATTTGCTGGGAATTAGCTAAATTATAGGGCCTATACAATCTGATCTGATGAGGACCCGCCACTTTTTACTTGTATGGATCTGGGTCCAAAGGTGGACCAGCAGCTTTTCAAGGTTAAGGGCAAACAATGCCTGACAGTATCAACATAATTGTCTGTCTGTACCAATTGTTACCATAACTCTACCATGAAGCGTAGAGTTTTAACTAAAAGAGAGATAGAGGCAAGCAAGCGATGGCGTCTTGATAACTGGTCACTTAAGGCTGTCAATGCCGTGAGGGTCAAGATTGCTTGAACGATATGTAGCTTCAGGTTACACAAAAGTGAAATAGTCCAGAAGCTATAATGTTGTCAAAACAAGGTGACAATTATCTCTCACAATACCAACCAGTTTATGTTGTACTACAATTTCCTCTTCATACCAAGTGTTACCACAAGTTCAACACGAGGGTCAGTTAGCAAATGTCATGTTCTGAAAATATCACATACTATGCATAAATGAGGATATTTTCAGAACACGCTGCACGCCAAGATGAGACACCGTGGCGGAAACTACCTGAGGTGAAACAAAAGGTTTGCATTTCGAAGATTGTTTTTTCTAACAAACTGATATATCGCTGAAGACATTTGTAAAACTTTGCTTTTGGTCTGATGGTGTAGTTTTAGTCACGTGAAGCGTAAGAGTATTTTGTACATCGGTCAAATAACCATTAGCTAATGCTGGAAGGTATGTCTGTCATGTCACTCTACAGAGATTTTAATGTTCAGTAACAACCTGTTGCGTGTAACTATCATTTCATTTGCCACTGTTGCTACCCATTGAGCCTTACCGTGTGTCCACAGGTACTGAAGTCTGAACTGGAGACGTACTCACCCCCGGGGAAGCTGGATCATGTGAACATCTTGTTGCTGGGGGCGGTTGGATCGGGCAAATCCAGCTACTTCAACACCATCAACTCTATATTCCAAGGGCGGATAACCTCCGTCGCCTGCAGCGGAAGTGCAGAACACAGTCTAACTACTACCGTAGGTTGATACGTATCCCATCTAACTGCTAATTCAATTATTTATTTGTTATGTTTATTAGGTGTTTCTTGTAACGAAATGCTGAAACGGTAAAATTATGTTGATATTTCACGGGAATGAAATAATGCAGCTTCATGTCAGAACTAAAAAAAAGTACTGCCGGAAATAGAAATTTATCTACAATTTATGCAGTTAATATATGAAAGTATGAAATATCTGTTAAACTAAGTTCGGCCTAACTACAGTCTCAGTAGTAGAGAGATAGGAAACGTAGAAAAAAGACTTTTCTGAGGAGAGATTAGTGCAGAAATGAGCAATGCGGTCCAAAGCGACTTATTTGTATCAGACCATGACTTTATGCAAATTAGTGTGCGATGATACTGTATTGTAAATGACACCTTTTTTAATTCCCATTTCAAAAGTAAACTTATCTTCGTGAAAAACGATAGCTGACGTAAACAATAATAACTTTAATACTGAAACTAGTAAGGATGTAGCTACCATGGAGTCTCACCATCACTATAAAAAGGAAATAGGTAGAAGGGGTCGTCTCAAATGGTGTGTCAGGACGGGTGTCACAGATGGTGGTTGGGGTCGGGCTGGGTGACAGAGATATCAGCTGAGATAAGATAATCCTTTAGGGGAAATAGACTAGGGAAGCAAACGGCATGTCATAACTATTTACAAATACTACCCTGTCCTGTTGATCATCGGGTGGTCATGCCACTGAGACATTGAGACATTTAATACGAATTCTGATTTAAGCTTTTCTATGGGTATCATACTCTTTTACAGATCACAACATAAACTATGTGAAAGAAAGACACGTAAGATGTTAATCAATAGATGAGACATATTCAAAACACATGAGAAAGCATAAAATATCTTTGAGACGACCCCTTGTGCCCGTAGGCAGCACATGCATTTCATGCCAGGTGAGTCGACGGTCTGTCGTCATACCTGGCTGAGCGACCTAATTGTCATCTATAGTCTGATCTATTGTTTTCAGCAGCTATTGGTATATTTTTGCCCAATTTTACGAGTAAACATGCTTTTCTGGATATCCTATTACGCATTCCACTGAACGCCCTGTTAGGCCGATGTGGGTTATTTCGACATATGCTATTTGCAATTGTGTAAATTGTAGGGATACAGAGTAACCGCCTAAAAACAGTTGTTTTTTTCTATTTCCGGCAGTACTTTTAGTATCAGTCCTAAATGAACAATGGTTTTGATCCAGGAGAAAGGACACGTGTACAGAAATTACAAAATTTGGACATTCTTGTCAAACAACTTTACTTCAGACCTGAACCGACAAAGTTGATATTTTCACAAATTAGTATATCAATATATCTTTTAATAACCTTAATATTTTCAGTATCGTTTGTACAAGATAAAATCGACCGACAAGTCGACAGCCCTTGAAAGTTCGACTTTGTGACACAAGGGGACTTGAAGACGGTCTCAATCTTGATCTGTCGGACCTGATGGCGATCATCGACGGTCATTTGCCGGACAGGTTCACGGTAATATTTTATGTGATATCAAGGCATGTCGTGTACTTCCAATGAAGGCAGTCGCCAGGACCACAGACTGCAGATGTGGACCCCGGTTCCATGAAACGTTCATTAATTATTAAACCCTAATGTATTAAATAGAGGATATTAGTGAGTGAGTGAGTGAGTGAGTTAGTATTTAACGTCACATCGGCAATATTTCAGCCATATCGTGACGAGAACATTTGATAGTGAAATAAAATATATGTATATTATAAAACATCTGCCGACGAAGGACAGTAAAACAACTAGAGTATCATAGATATACATGTAAAACTAGTAATTGAATCTAAAACATTTTAACTATAGGGGACAACACAATATAAAAATTGGCTATAGATCGCCACCAACTGAAGGTAGATCACCATGCTAGGAGCCATGGGGACTTACATTACTTTTGCTACCTGCATGGATCCTAGCTGGATTTACACCATCCCTTCAGCTGCTGGCGATTGTAGGAAAATTTAGCCAACAGTTAAAATAACAAAAATACTACGTTTAAAATGTGATAATTTATATTTTACTTTGAAAGTTTTGGGACTTACGTACCCTTTCAGGAGGACAATAATTTTCTACGTCAACCCCCTTTGAGGGTACAGCCACTAACAATCTCAGTGACTAATTTAAATTACCAATAATAAAATATTTATCTATTTACAAATCAGTTAACAAATCTAATTCTTTTAAAAATTCAACTATCAAATGATAAATTACATTATAAAAGAGATCCTTCAATGTTTTGACATTAATATACTTATCCCTTGTGATGGAATATTCAACACAGTCAAGCAAGACATGCTTGACTGTGATTCTTTCATCACAAGGGATACAAAACGGAGGATCCTCACCTTTCAATAGGTACTCATGAGTATATCTTGTGTGGCCAATACGACATCGTCGTATGATGACCTCTTCAAATCTGGACTGACAACCCAAGTAGGTGTAACCAATAGTTGGTTTGATTGCATGTAATTTATTGATACCTACTTGGGCATCCCACTTCTTTTGCATCAGATCGCGGATGTATGTTCTAATGCTGGCTTTATAATCAGAGTATGGGATCAGAAGTGGTGTCACAGATTTGTTGAGTGCTGCCTTGGCAGCAAAATCGGCCATTATATTCCCAGAAATGCCAACGTGGCTGGGTAACCAACAGAGGACGATGTCATATTGGCCAGTTGCAAGATCATTATATAATTCTATAATTTCTATTAAAAGTGGATGTTTACAAGAAATATTTTTAATAGCCTGAAGGCAAGAAAGAGAGTCTGAAAATATGATATATTGTTTATATTTAGGGTGTCTATTTATATATTTAAGAGCTGTTAGTATTGCGTTTGCTTCTGCTGTGAAAATTGAACTGTCATTGGGTAATCTGGAAGAGAATGTTTTGGACCCAATGACAGTGGCACAAGCAACCGCGCCACCATCCTTGGACCCATCTGTAAATAAGGATTTATATGTATTATATGTACTTTTTAATTGATTATATTCTTGTTTGTATAGTAAGTCATTAGTTTCTGATTTTTTAAATTTAGTGAGTGTTAGGTCGACTTGTGGCCTAACCAATTGCCAAGGAGGAGAAGGAAGAAGATGGGAAGGAGCTATATTTTCCAGCTCAATGCCGGCAGCAGCAATAAATGGCTTAATTCTGAGCCCAAGAGGAGGAACAAGAGAAGACGTTTTGTTATACAAATCCTCATAAAGAGGATTAAAGACACAGTGAAATGCAGGATTAGACTCGTTTGAATATAATTTTGTAATATATTGTAATGATAATTTTATACGACGTTGGTTAAGAGAAGGTTCGTCTGCCTCGACATAAAGACCGTCAACAGGAGAGGTTAAAAAAGACCCAAGACAAAGTCTTAGGCCTTGGTGATGGACAGAATCCAGTAGTTTTAGGTTGCTTTTGCAGGCTCCACCATATACGATGGAGCCATAATCAAGCTTCGAGCGGACCAGTGATCTGTAAAGGTGTAGGAGCGTAGCTTGATCCCCTCCCCACCTTGAATTAGACACGACTTTCAATAAATCGAGTGCCTTCAGGCATTTAGTTTTTAGAGATTTGATATGCGGAAGAAAAGTTAAATGGGAGTCGAAAATGAGACCTAAGAACTTGGCCTCTTTTACAACCTTGATGGGAGTGCCATTTAAAAACAGTTCTGGGTCTTTATGTGGTTTATATTTACGGCAGAAATGTATGCAATTAGTTTTTGATTTAGAAAATTTAAAGCCGTTTTCAAGACACCATTTATTTATTTTGTTTAAACACAACTGTAGTTGTCGTTCAATGGTATGCATATTCTTACCGCGACAAGAAATATTAAAATCATCCACGAAAAGTGATCCATCGATGGAATCATTTAAAACCTTGGATAAACTGTTGATCTTAATGCTAAACAATGTGACAGACAAAATACTGCCTTGTGGGACACCCTGATCCTGATTATAATGGTCAGACAGGGTAGAACCCACTCGGACTTGAAATTGCCTGTCTTTTAAGAACTGTGATATAAAAAGAGGTAAACGACCCCTTAAACCAAAATCATGTAAATCCTTTAAAATGCCATGCTTCCAGGTGGTATCGTACGCTTTCTCGAGATCAAAGAATATCGATACTGCATGTTGTTTATTGACTATAGCATTTTTTATATAGGATTCTAATCGTACCAAATGATCAATGGTACTACGATTTTTCCTGAAACCACATTGAATATTTGTTATTAGGTTGTTGGTTTCAAGATACCATGTTAATCGATTATTTACTATTCGTTCCATGGTTTTACAGACACAACTCGTTAAAGAGATTGGTCTGTAATTAGACGGATCAGTATGATCCCGGCCAGGCTTTGGTATAGGAACTACAATGGCATTACGCCACGAAGGTGGGAAATTCCCTGAAGTCCATATTGTGCCAAAAATATTTAGAAGAGTTTCCAAACATGATTCCGGTAAATGCTTCAAGAGCTGATAGTGTATATTATCAGCTCCTGTTGCTGTGTCATGAGCTTGCTCAAGGGCAGTGTGGAGCTCATGTAATGAAAATAATTCATTATAGTCTTCGCCATTGTCTGAGTTAAAATTTATTCTCCTTTTCTCTTGTTGTTTCTGATATTTTTGAAATTCTGGTACGTAATTTGACGAAGAAGAATGTTTGGCGAGAGTTTCACCAAGCGTATTGGCAATGTCAGACTTATCAGTTAATAAATTATCACCATCCTTCAGATGGTGGACAGTAGATTTGGAACCTTTGCCCTTTATTCGTTGAATCATGTTCCACACCTTTGAAATTGGTGTGCGTGAATTTAACTTGGAAACATAATTTCGCCAAGACTGACGTTTATTCTGTTTAAAGGCACGTCGAGCTTTGGCACTATTTATTTTGACATTATTTAAATTGTGAACTGTAGGATGCCGGCGAAAGTATTTCTCTGCCTTCTTCCTACACTTCCTGACCTGTTTACAATCATCAGTAAACCATGGTTTACGAATGTGTGGTGTCGCAGAGGACTTAGGAATAGTTTCATCAGCTATTTGATTCAGTTTATCCGAGAACAACTGAATAGGATCTAGAGCATTGACAAAAAAGTCAGATTTCAGTTCGTCAGTACAAAGTGTCTGATATAATGACCAGTTGGCCTCATTAAAATTCCGCCTTGTTGCAGGAGGGTCATCGGTTGGATTTACAGCTGAAAGTATTGTGGGGAAATAGTCACTTCCACACAGGTCATCATGAACTGACCATTCGAATTCGTTATAAATATTTGGGTCTGTGAGTGATAGTTCTAGTGCAAAATATGTTCCTGTACCAGGGTGTAAATACGTGGCTGATCCATCATTAAATATGCACAGGTCATTATTAGAAATGAAGTCTTCGAGGATTTTCCCTTTAATGTTAGTATCAGTACTTCCCCACAAAGGGTTATGACCGTTAAGATCACCCATGATAATACAGGGCTTGGGAAGCTGGTCGAAGAGATCCTGAAGATCAGACTGCTGAAGAGCTGAAGATGGAGAAATGTACAATGAACAAAGAGTGAAGGTTATTTGTAACGAAAGACGGACAGCAACCGCCTGAAGAGGACTTTTAAGGGGGACAGGGCTATGAATCACACCCTGCCTCACCAAAATAGAAGCGCCGCCGGTGGCTTTATCACCTGGAGGTGAAAACGAATGGAATGAATTGTACTGACGAAATTCAAATTTGTCTGTATTTTTCAGGTATGTCTCCTGTAAACTAAACACAGATGGTTTATAATCCTGCGATAATAATTGTAGATCCTGAAAATTGTTCCTAAGACCCCTGCAATTCCATTGGATTAAGTTCATAAATAATGTTTATGGTGGTTTGACTGGAGATCGAGAATGCAAGGAGCCATCACTCCTACACGTTGTGTGTGAAGAAGCAATCTCCATGTCAAGTGGTTCAAACGAATTTTGAACCACCACAGGAGGGCTCAATGAATCCATAGCAAGTGGCTCAAATGAATTTTGAACCGTCACAGTAGGTGTCAACGAAGGAGACTCTTCCAAATGGTGAAGAGTCCTGTTCTTTCTTCTTAACTTTTTCTTTTCTTTATTTGAAAGGTGGGCAACACTCTGCGTTTCCTGAGTCGAATGGACATCGTCTGGTTGAGTTTCTCAGTCTGAGAGGCTGATGTGCATCGATGATCGTTTGATATTTTATCATTGTCATCCAAGGTTATTGGATCAGCATTCAACCAAGATATAGCAGTTTGACATTCAGTTGAAACTGAGTGAGTTTTAGGAACAGGTGTCGGAGCAGAGGAAGTAACCGCGGCTGAGTATGTTGGACCGGTAGAAGATTTGGATTGAGCATTAACTACTTTCTTCGCTTCAAAGTATGAGATGTTGTTTGTGCATTTGATTTTAAGAATTTTGGCCTCATATCCAAACTTTGGGCAAGATTTTGATGATGCCAGGTGGTCACCACTGCAGTTTGAGCA